CAACTGCCTCACGCAGCCAAGCGAAGGTACTTTTGTAAGCGCGTGGGTATCTAGAAGTTTCTGAGCTCGAACAAAAAAAATTTAGAGTCGTCTCATCATTCCAGTCACGCAAACAATAGAGAGAAGGACATGCGCTGGCGGGGTCAGCGGCATGTGAGTCGATCACGCTGCTGACTCGGCAATTTTCACGTGGCATTACTCCCCCTCTTGCGAAAGACTCATCGTCTTTATGCAACACAAAATTAAATTAACAGCTTAAACAAGACTAGGTCAAAATACAGTCTCGTAAATAGCAGACTTTCACAGTCCTACCGAGCATACCTAATTCAGTTGAGTCGGAAGACGTGAATCGCCTACGGGTCGCAGAGGGCAGCGTGACAATGTTGATGTGCCATTGGCCAACGACTTACAACTTAGGTCTCATGTAGCGAATAACCTTGAGGTCGAAGCACCACTTTAACAGTTCCTTGCTGCGACGATGAATTGGTGTTTAGATTCACAGTGGGTAGCCAGGCTGAAACTGGGCGTCATGGTGACAAAGATTGTAGCAGTCATCGTCAGGAAGTTGTGGCTTGCATCAAAATGCGACCAAGCTGGCAAACTTCCTCCGTTCGTTGAGTGACATACCAGGCGTCGTCGTCCTGTTCGTCTTCGTGACAGATACCACACTTGCCGTAGGTATTGTCATCGGGTTCATCATCAAAATCGCCGTCAAGTTTGTAGTCGTGGTTGTCGTTAAAGGGCAACTCCGAACCATACTTTCAATTTTGGGATTATGACTGTTTTTAGTGCAGTCAGCGTCTCTGAATTGCAAGGTGTAATTCTTTCCTCGTTATTGTGCGTAGTTTTAAAGATATGGACGCCTCAAAGTTTTGTTTGGGGCACGGCCAACAAAACCGAAACTAGCCGCTCGAGGCCCTGTCAGCACTAGAAATCAGCCGCTATGTGAACGTGACGTCAGGATCGTTCTCGTTCAACGAGTACGCAGGTTGATCAGCAGCTACTTCTGTTGCGCTACCCGTCTAAAGGTAGGTGATTTTATTTTAATTCTGTATATGTGGTAAGCTTTTGGGTAAGTTGATTTTATTTAATTCTGTATATGTGGTAGTTATCCAGCACATGTAGGAAGAGTTAGTGCGTATACCCAAAAGCTAGTGACTGGAAAACCCGTAAACTCGTACAGTGCCGTACTCGGCAGCCGCTGCCGCCGTGCGTGTGCCATGCCGTACTTGTCGCTAGTATACCCAAAAGGTAGCGACTGGAAAACGAGTGAACTCGTTCAGTACCGTACTCAGCGGCTGTCGCCGTGTGTGCAGTCTTCCGTACTCTGTCGCTAGGCCTAAATTGTCATCGGGGCTCCGTGGATGGAGCGGCGTTGCTCTACGACGCGCTGCCAGTGAAGTACAGTACTGGGGGCCCTCTCGCTTTCGCGCTGCGGGTCAGTAACAGACACGAAGCTTTGAGGCTTTCCGGCACGGGCTTTCCGGCACGGGCTGCTGCGTTAGGGCTGTACATGTCTGTTTTTTTGTACATGTCCAGATTTTTACTGCTCACTTGTTTTTTTAAATTTGATTTAGAGGATACTACTGGCCATTGAAGGCCCAAGTAGGAGTGGGGTACAACATATGCATTCACACACCTACAACAACAAACAAATAACACGACATTAAGAGGTTTACAACAATTAACCAGCAAATATACAGGATATATATATATTTAAAAGGGGGGGGGGGCGGCACAGCATGCATCAAGCAGCATGTAATTCAATCATTTGTAATAATAGATGTGAAATTTAAAACTCATATTTAAGATTGAACATTATCAAACAAATGTGAATTTAATTAAGCTATAAATTTTATATAGACTGTTACTTTTTATACAATTTTGTCTAGATTTGTCAGGATACAATCTGCAAGTACGCATAAAGTAACTGGAAAGTTGAAAGAAGCAAATTAGAGACTGCAAAACCTACTTCTCAATATATATTTTTTTCCAAAAGTATTTACGTGATAGTGCAGCTGAAATAAGTCTCCTTTTCCAGTTTTTTCTATTTGAAACACCTTAAATATACATTGTTTTCTAAGATTTTTTTTTATTATTATGCTTGGAAAATTAAGTTACCGATTGTGTTCAGTTTATTCTAAACTATTTATATGAAATTCCAGAGTGCTTTTGTGCATAACAGTGGCTAGATAAGGTTTTTATAATTTCTGATAAAACAAACTGACTAGTTTCTCTTTAGTGACCGTTTCGCCAAGGTGACAGCAGAACAAGTAACGGATCCCGACGTCAAACTGCAGGAATTTGAGATATATGTTTTCTTAGCGAATGCACGCCACTGTTGTGACATATTTGAATATCCTTATCGCTTGCTTGGGCTCAGCGGGTAATGCAGGTCGGCACTAGCGTGAGTATAAAGGCTGAACTGCATAAAACGATTTAGCGAGCGACGGCGACAGCGACGAGTCAGCGACGTATTACGAAGATTTCTTACTATCGCTCGTCGCGTCACTCGGTTTTTGGATTTCTAGCAAACATCGTTCCGCTTTCATGCGGCTTGCGTCGTCGCGCGAGTGATCGAGCGTCAGCGAAGCGGGTCGCCGTCGCTGTTCTCGTCGCTCGCAAAATCGTTTACATTCGGTTTATACTTCACGCTGTCAATAATATCGACTCGAGCGCGCATAATTTCATTTCCACGGGAGCGCGTGTAAATCAAACCCTAAACCAAGACGGGGGCTGCAGCCAGCAGCTTTGAGAGCGTCATACAATGGATTATAGTTTGACAGAAGCAAGCACACACTTCGCTAGCGCATTCCAGCCTTGAGCGCTCGAACTTCCGAAAACGAAACCAGATTTTGCTACATTTTGGCTAGCTCGAAACATTTTTTTTTTAAATATAGGGTGTCTTTTAGCTATAATCTAGACTAAGAGAAATGTGTACCTTCCCAAATTATATTTATGTCGCCGTACTATATAAGTAATAATTGTGTAATATCGTTACGTTCATATAAAATACGGGGGGTGTCACCGGACCTTCGTCTGAAACAAAAAGTCTACTATATATATAGCGAGCGGGTTTCTGTTATAATTGAGTAGGAGTGTCGGGTCGTATGTTGATCTTGTGGTATGTGCTGTGATGTATGTGTTGGTATGCTGTCGTCCGTGTTCGAGCGTGTCACTTCCACAAATGCCGAAATGTCCTTCATTTTTGTAGTTTTCCGCATACTCACTAGGTGGCGAAAGCAGCCGCCCAATTTTATTTTAGCTTTGTTTGTACGTAGTCCATTTATGTGTAAGGACCCACACCACATAGCTACAGTCTAGTAGAAAAGTAACCGCGTGTTTAAATGGCGCATAGCGCCGGCCAACGTTACTAAAACACTCAGTTGGGAAACTCGCCGTCGAAACCTGGGCCGCTGGCGTCCACCGAGACCGAGCTAAATGCGACAACAGCGCCACTCTTTTTCGTTTGTCTGTACTGTAATCACCTTGAGCTTTTTGAAAGCTTGTTTTTGCGTAAAAACAAACGGAAAAGACTCTTTTTGTATGAAATTTATTGGAGTTTAGTACCAAATGATGGGTGCGTGATGTTTTTATTATCTTTAGTTCGCAAGGTTTTGCGGAACAATTAATATTGTTTTTATAAAACCATGCCTCAGCGGGCCTTTCAGGTAGCGCGTCCCGACCTAAGTGCATATTAACTTCGGTAGTTCCACGCGGCGCGTCTGCCGGGGCGACGGGGGTTCACCCCTGTCAAAGCCAAAAATAGAAGTCACGGGCAGTTTCTCGAGTGGCCGCTGCGGGAGAAATGGTGGCGTTGTGTTAGTCATTAGCTCAGTGCTCGGAGACAGATTGGGGCCAAATTTTTAGGGCTGTCTCTATGGGAGTTTCCCAACTGAGTGTTTCAGTAACGTTGGCGCCGGCGTTCAGTTCGTCTTCGTTCGCTGGCCGTTTCGGTAGCCGATTAGTACCCGGAAAGCCGCAAAATTTGCGTACACACGAGATATGAGTGGATACGTCGAAACGTCGCGTACAACTTTGCTCGCGGTAAAGAGGTGAGCGGGACGTCGGTAACGCCGGTCGGGTAGGGTCGGGTCGGGTCGGTGTCGGAGCTATTCGTCGTCGCTCGCGGCAAACGGGCTTTTTCAATAAAGTTCATGTCTGTGGTCGCGATAAGATAACTGCTGTGGAAATTACCCGGCGTCGGTGACAATGCAACCGGCTTGAGGCCTCGGCGATCGGCTGAACCGCCACGCGAACGAGACCTGCTCGATGGCGAAGCACGCTGCTGGATGCAGTCGATGGTCGCTCCCACTGTCGCGTAATCGCCGTAATGGATACGGCGTCGGCGCTTGGGGGTGAATGCTTGCGGTAGTTCAGCACGTATGGACGATTACGAACGAACACGTGCAAACTACGCTTTCGCTGCGGCGAAAAGCCGTGTAAAGCGCTGGGCCTCGCTCGTAGAAACCGTCTTACGTCAAACGGCCGCCATTGTAAAAAAACACCCCTAGACGTGTGATCGCAGAACGAAGTACACGTTCAAAGATGTTCATTTTACACGAGAGCTCGGGTGCAAACGAAATACACCGAGCCTCGCGTGTAAAACGAACACCATTTGGGGAGTCCGCCCTGGGACAACGGTTTACACGTCCAGGGGTGTACTTTTTCGCTGTGTGTGTACCCGACCGGCGTTACCGACGTCCCGCTCACCTCTTTACCGCGAGCAAAGTTGTACGCGACGTTTCGACGTATCCACTCATATCTCGTGTGTACGCAAATTTTGCGGCTTTCCGGGTACGAATCGGCTACCGAAACGGCCAGCGAACGAAGACGAACTGAACGCCGGCGCTATGCGCCATTTAAACACGCGGTTACTTTTCTACTAGACTGTAGCTTGTAGGGTTCGGTGCTACTGCTCACCCGCAAGAAGGACCAACGAGGCGGATCTCCGAAAAAACACACCTTTACTTTCTGGTGGCAGCCAACCGACTGCCGAGCCCCGCGCCTCCAACGTGGCTCGCGCGCACGTTGCGCGCCGGGCGCGGAGCACACGTTCTTTTGGCCCATGATGGGCCGCAGAGCCCACAAACTCCCCCCCCCCCCCCCCGAGTTCGTTGGAGTTGACGGGGTGGTTAGAAGGGTTCTTCGTTTTCGTCAATGTTAATTGCGATGTCGGCCGGCGAGGGGGGGCGGAGGAGGGCGGGTCTTAGGCGCCGGACGACCGCCAGGGCCCGCTGGAGGTTGTGTTCGTCTATGGCCGCGAGGCGCAAGACGGCTGCCCTGGCGGCGGCGGCCGACTCCCGGTCCCGGTGGAGAGCGCCGGCCTGGTGGGTGCCCCTGTGGATCTCGGGCACCCCACAGAGGGGGCACAGGAGCCGGCGCTCCTCCTCATCGTAGAACTGCACCGGGTCGTTGGGATGGCGGTCGGTAAGAGTGTTTCCCCGAAACGGCTCCGGGACTTCGGCTGGGGGGTCCGTGGTCAGGGGCCGGGGCTGGACCTCCCAGGGCAGGTTCGAGGTCCATGAGATGGCTAGGCCCTGGGGCCCAGCACGGTCCAGGTTGCGGAGTTGCCCCGGCGTCGGTAGAAGGGCCGGCGGCGATGTTGTCCCGGAGCCGGAGGGTGACGGCCGTGGTGGTGGTGGTGGTGGTGGTGGCGGTGGGGGGAAGCTGAGCGTCTCCGTCGGTGGTAGCGAGGCATCTTGGAGAGCAGAAAGAAACAAAAAAAAAAAGGAGGCCCGTGAGTGGTCTTCTACTGGGGTTTCTTCTACGAGAAAGCGTTCATAACGTTGGGCGCGGCAATAGACAAGTTAAATTTGCGAGGATACTATCCGCGTCTGCGCGTCCATCACACAAAACCCCCGCGGAAATTCAGTCGGGAGAGCACTAGTTCTCGCTCAAGTCTATTGCAACGCGCATCTTCTTAGATCTTCGTCTTCGTCACCAACATCAGGTATAGTCCTCGCAGAATTAAGTATAACCCGGATCGGCATCACTCTCCACCTGCGAGAGAAGTTCGTCATCCAATTCATAATACCGTTTGAGGTTGGTGACATGAACAGGTCCGGCGTGTCGACCAGACTCACAATGAACAAGCGTGTACGTAAGGCGTGAGGCCTTGTTTCGCACTGGATACGGACCATCCCACCGGTTCGCCAGGGAAGCTGTGAAACCTGTGGAGGCGTCACTAGGTGGGTGTGTCCGCCAGAGTACAAGATCTCCAACTTCTAATTGCACGTCACGGTGGCCACGATTGTACTGCTCAGCCTGCTGAAGCCGTGCGGCGTCCAAGCTCTCCCGGGCATCACGAACGATGTCCCTGAGTCTGCGTCGTAGGCTTCCTGCAAACTGACCGTATGAGCGAGCAGCGCCACGGTTGTTGGTCGTGCAAGTGTTTTCCAGCGGGAAAGTCAGCTCTCTTCCGAAATTAAGGCAAGCTGGCGTAAAACCTGTAGACCGGTTAACGGTTGTGCGTGTTGCGAACGCGAGCTCTGAGAGCTTTGCGTCCCAGTCAGGGTGACGTTCGGTGTGAGCTATTAACATTGATTTCAGGTTTCGGTTCACCCGCTCTGTGATGTTTGCCTGTGGGTGATAGGAAGACGTCCGCTTGTGTTGTATGCCCAATGCGGCACATGAGTCTCGGAACACTTTGCTGGCAAAGTAAGTAGCGTTGTCGCTAATCAATTTCGCCGGAAATCCGAAGCGTGTGAACGTCTCCATCAGACACGACCAGATTCTTTTGGACGTCAGCGACCGTAATGCAAATAGCTCCGCCCACTTGCTAAAGTGATCCGTGACAACCAACAAGTACTGTTTGCCACGCGGACTGCGTGGGAAAGGGCCCATGACGTCGACAGCAACGCATTCCCATGGGGATCGACTCACGACTGGCTGCATGAGACCAGGGGGCTGACCACCGCGCGGTTTGGCTTTCTGACAAACCGGGCATGAACGAGCGTACCTCAGCACGTCATGACGAATTCCTGGCCAAGTTGCAGTACGGCTTAACTTTTCAAAAGTCTTGCAGCCACTACTGTGACCAGCCAAAGCAGAGTCATCGTAGTATCTAATGAAGGACGTGCGAAGTCGGCGAGGTATCACGGCTCGAAATGGAGTGTCTGTGGAGCCACCCTCCTCGTCGTCGATCTGAGGTATGTACCGGAGGAGCAGACCATCTTCGGCCAGCAAGTACGAGACAAGACCCATGTCAGCGTCTCTGTTGCCACGTCGGTCTCGTGAAGATAACCACTCAGAGACCCTGCGACAAAGTCCATCGTTCTGCTGTGCAGCACGAAGCTCATCTCGGCTAATCAAAGTACCCCAGCGCGAGCCAGCATCTCTCGCAGCCACAACATTGGCATCCTCGGGCACGTGCTCTTCGCCGAGCGGAGCGCGCGATAAAGCGTCTGCAACTTTGTTTTGTGAGCCTGGCTTGTGCACAATAGTATAGTCATATTTCTGAAGCGTTAGTGCCCAGCGTGCTAATCGTCCTGCCGGATTTTCCAGCCGCTGAAGCCAAGACAAGGCGGCGTTATCCGACTGGATCACAAAGCGCGCGCCATCAAGATACATGTTGAATTTCTGCAGGGCGACTATGATGGCTAGGCACTCAAGCTCGCAAACGTTGTAATTCCGCTGAGCTGCTGTCAACGTATGGCTAGCAAACGCTACGGGTCGTAAGACACCATCAAAGTCTTGAAGCAGCACAGCACCTAAACCGTAGCCGCTCGCATCGGTTTGCAGCACAAACGGACGGTTGAGGTCTGGGAGCTTCAAAGATGCTGTCTCAGCAATAGCTCTGGACAGTTGAAGGAAAGCATTTTGCTGTGCCTCCGTCCAACGCCATTTGACGCCTTTGCGCAGCAGTTCGTTCAGAGGCCGCGTTATCTCTGCACAGTGGGGAATAAACTGGCGGTAAAATCCAACCATGCCAAGAAATCTCTGCAAACTTTTTTGCATCATGTGGGGGAGGAAACTCAGTTATGGCCCTCAGCTTGTCCTCATTAGGGCGAAGCGATCTATCGTCGATTACAAAACCGAGCAGGTTAATCTTAGATGTTGCCAGTTGCATTTTTCCCGGGTGAACTGTCAAACCAGCATTCTGCATGCGTTCGAGAATAGTCCGAAGGTGCACAAGATGTTCTTCAAACGTGCGTGAAAAGACTACTACGTCATCCATATATGCCATGGCGTAGTTGTGCCGTGCGTCTCCAAGCACAATGTCCATAAGACGCTGGAATGTGGCAGGAGAGTTGCTCAAGCCGAAAGGCATGCGCACAAACTCGTACAACCCTCTGTAGCATGTGAATGCTGTTTTATCAATGTCAGCGGGCTCGACCTCTATCTGGAGGAAACCGCGACTGCAGTCAAGAGTCGTGAAAAAACTCGCGTTTCCCCAAGTTGTACATGATCGACTCAATCGAGGGATACGGGTAGGCGTCACGAACGGTTACCGCATTCAGGCGCCGGTAGTCGACGCAAAGCCGAGCCGCTCCATCCTTCTTGGGGCCAAGGACGATCGGAAAGGCCCAAGGGCTCTGTGACTCACGTACTGCACCCGTGTCGATCATCTCTTGGAGCGCCTTGTCCAGCAGGGCTCGCTTGTGTACGCTGATAGGTCGAGGGTTGCAGCGTAGAGGCTGTGTATTCCCGGTGTCAATTGAATGCTTTAGGACACCGGTTCTGCCGGGGTTCTCCGTGAACATCGGCGAAAACTCTTCCAGGAGTCTTTGGAGACGCCGCTTTTGCTGGTCCGTAGCAGGACACTTCTGCAAAGAATCGCTTACCGCACATGGGAGCCGCAGAGCAGGCGTTCTAACGCCAACGTTATCGACACTGACGACACAATCCTCTCGTCTAGTAAATGGAATCAGTTGCGCGTCACTACCCAACCGGTAGCCTTTGTTCGGAAAGTCCAGAACCAGGTTCTCCCCGAAAATGAAATCTCGCCCCAAAATAATCGGTACCGTGAGACCAGGTAAGCAAACGAAACGCTGACGGCGTTTTTTCTCGTTAAACCCGATCTGTAACCTCACGGCTTGACTCGCAAGCATTTCTGGTCCTGACGCTAGCTGTAAGCGCACGTTAGTCTCGCGCAGGTTAGCTTTCTGCCCTTTGCAGCGTTCAATCAGGTAGTCCCCAATAAGCGACAGACTCGCACCGGTATCAATCAGCGCTGCCACAGCTACTCCGAGCACTGTAACTGTCATACGAGGCTCAATTAGCTCAAGGTCAGGCTGAATTCGGCATACCGATGGAAGTTTTGCCGAGTTGTCCATGGTCATCGCGGCCGGCAGGCGTTCAGGGGTCAACGCCACCGGCCGTACTCGTTTCCCGAGGCTGCATTGCTGTTGCGCAGTAGGTCGGGGCAGTCACGCCGGAAGTGGCCATGGCGATCGCAGCCGAAGCACCGCACCGAGTGGTGCCGGTCAGGGCCGTGCGTCTGGCTTGCCTGCGCTTGTTGTTGCGGCCCTTCTTGGTGTCCCTCGTTGGACCAGCGATCGGCGCCCCGGTTGGCATTGCGGGGGAAGGACCTTAAACGGCTTTCACCCTGCCGTAGCCTCGATCCAGCCGGCCGGGCACGTAGCCGGGGGTCCGAACCATCGAGTGGTCTCCCGCGCTCCCATTGCCCGAAGGCGTAGGAGTCCAGCGCACGGGGGGGACAGACCGCGCCATCCAGGGTTTGGCGCTGAGTCGGACCTCTTCTGGGCCCGGGAGCTCGCCAGGCACAGGACGGCTCAAGAGCTTCTTCAGGCGGTGGCGGGGGCCGATACTGCAGCTCGGCCAGGAGCGTCTCTTGTATGCCGTGAGCGTCCCGGGCCAGTTGCTCCAGGGTGGAATACGTGCGGCCATGCAGGTAGGGCCGGAATCTTGGGTGGCTCTGCTGCATCACCCGAGCAACCCTGTCCGACTCCGACGTCGTTGGGCAGGCTCTGTCATAGAGCTCCTGCATCATCCGTACATATTCGACGAGGGTCTCGTCCGGGTGCTGGGTCCGGCGCTCCAGTTCTCGCTG